AAAGCCTCAAGATTAAGCATGTGGTTGTACCTGGTGGCTGCACAAAATTTGTGCAGGCACCAGATAGGTCGTGGAATGCACCCTTCAAGAGCAAGATTCGAATGCGATACGATAAGTGGATGGCTTCGGGCAAGGAGACATACACTGCTACGGGAAACCCCCGGCCACCGCCGATCATCAACATCGTGCAATGAATTGTCGAGGCATGGGAGGAGATTCCTACGTCCGTTATTGCCAAGTCCTTCAAGGCATGTGGCATTACAAACAACCCCGATGGCACGGAGGATGACGAAATTTTGTACATGAAGGAGGGGAGAGATTGTGCTGCGGCGCGTGCTCTCCTTTGCACAAGAAGAGTTGGAGACAGTGCCTTAGTGACCAGCAGTGATAGCGACAGCGATGATACTGTCACGGAGGAAGATGAGGACATCATGTGTCTTGATGGCAGCGACACAGAAAGCCTTAGTGATGTTGGAGGTGGCTATGGAGGTGATGGTGATGACATTGTGTCCATACACAGCGAGTTGGAAAGTGATAATGATGATGGTGAAGAAGAGGACTTTGCGTCTTCTAGCAGCCAATTTGGAAATGACAGCAGTGACTCTGCTGAGGAAGACGAGGACATCGTGTGCATTGATGTCAGCGACACGGAAAGCCCGAGTGATGTTGGAGATGGCTATGGAGGTGATGATGATGACGACATTGTGTCCATATACAGCGAGTCGGAAGGTGATAGTGATGATGGTGATGAAGACGTCTTTGAGTCTGCTAGCAGCCAATTCGGAAGTGACAGCAGTGACGCTGTTGATGAGGAAAGTGACTGAACATGGGCTGTCTTGGCATTTGTGTACACTGCATCCGTGCACATGTGTGATTCAGTTTCTTGCCCTAGGTTTTCAAGAACTTGCCGTTTGAGGAATCCGTCGCATTTGTGCATGCAAGTGTGTGTACTCGTTTCGTGTGGTATGTGCTTGGGTTTGAGTGTGTGGCATTCTTTTGTCTTGGCTTGACTGCTTCAAGTTACGCTTTTACGGCCTGTTCCCATTTTTACGGCCTGTTCCCGGTGTGCGAGATTGCTCTTTCTTGTCTCATTGACAAGTGCATTTCAGAATTACAGCGAAACCAATAGTCCTGATGCTCTTTTCTTGATTTTCTTCTTTTTTGCGTTGAGTGACAGACTTGTACCACCATTGAAAAAATAGTGCCATCTCTTGAATAGTGCCCCGTCTGTGACGGACTTGGAAAAAATAGTGCCAAGAGGGCACTAATCGCGCGAGTACGGTACTTGCTACTAGTGTGGGTGGCTAAATCAGAGTGGAGCTGATATAAGCTTACACATACCGTATATTCTCTATTATAAGCGCAGGTCTCCATTACTAGCACAGTCTCTAATACTAGCACACTGTGAGCACCTTTCGAAACATTATAAGCACGGTCTCTATTATTAGCACGGTCTTGGTGCAAATCAATGCGGCATGCATGATATCTAGCACGTATTTTTTCTTGCCCTGTATGGATGTATTGGTTTAAAAAAAATAGAAGCACGGTCTCCAATATAAGCGCGGTCTCCAATATAAGCACGGGGTAGAGGGGTGTTGAAAAAATATAAGCACGGCGCTTATAATAGAGAATATACGGTAAGCACGCACATGTTGCAGGTATGAATTTATCCTGTATCGCATCGCAGTTTGCGATGCAAAATCGATCAACTGCTATTCAAAAGTCACCGTGACTCGCAAAAAACTGCGATACATACAGACGATCCATGCCTAGCCTGTGCTGTCAAGCAACATGCATACAGTGCAGTGTATGTGGTGCAGGCAATCTCAATCTGCGTGTACATGTATGATTCAGTCGTTTTTTTTTGCAAATGGGCTTTCAGGCATCACTCTCAAGAAGGACAATATGGTAAACACCCAACCTTCAAAGAAAAATGCTAATTAAAATCAAAGACTGCTACACAATTGTGATTTTGTATAGCAGAAACTGCTATGCAAAAATATGACAATAAGTTCATCCCTGTGTTGTATTATGATGTAATGCATTACGTAGCCATGCAAGAGCATGCGCGAGATACACAGCTGCCTACTTAAAGTACTTCCATGCAGGATCCTTTAGATGTCGGGGTTCTTATGATTTGCCTACAATGGCCAAGTGAGAATATAATCCTATCGTAAACAACTAACTTGCTTACCCCGAAACATGGTGTCAGAAGTAAACTAAATAAACGCCCTAGAATTGTCGCAGTAGCGCCACCGGTGCAAGAGGTAAAATGGCAGCAGCCGGATTTACCCCGCCGTCGATGGATTGGCAAGCCGCAGATTTACCTGACGAATTCGAGCGGTTCCAACAATACTGCCTTCTAGTTTTCCAAGGGCCCTTTTCCGACAAGTCCGACAAGGAAAAGGTCGCCTATGTCATGCTATGGATCGGGAGAACTGGTGTTGATGCTTTCAATAGTTTCGAGTGGGATAATGCAAGCGACAAATCCAAAGTAGCTGCCGTCTTCAAGAAATTTAATAAGCATTTGCAGCCACGGGTAAATGCACGACTGGCTCGGTTTGAGCTTCAGAAATACCGCCAGCAACCCGACGAGTCTGTAGATGATTTCTTTGCGAGATGTAAGAAGAAGACGTCCAAGTGCAAGTTCAGGGACGCTCAGGAGACTAAAGATCGCCTGATAGAACAGCTAATCGTGGAGACGAAGCACTCGAAAGTGCAAGAACGCCTGCTGGAGGGTGGTAGTGATTTGACTCTGGACGAAGCGCTTGACAAGGCCCGTACTTATGAAGCAACACAGCGCCACATGGAGCAGCTGTCCACCGCCACCACCAGCAGCCGTCTACCTGAAACGGTTCACGCCATTTCCAAATCTGTGGGACACGCAGGCTGCGGCAAATGTGGACGAACCCACCACCCAAGCAAGTGCCCAGCGCACGGCTCCACCTGCAACAAATGCGGGAAGGCGAATCACTGGGCAAACGTATGCTGTTCGCAGGGGAGAGACGAGGCACATGGAAGGGGCCAGCAACGCGGACGCTGGCGCCAGAGGAGCCCCAGCCCGCGGGAGCGCTACCCCCAGAGGAGCCCCAGCCCACGGAGACGCTTCGACGCACTGCATTTCGACGCCGTCATCATCGACAGCGTCGAGCGTCACCAACCGCCACTAGAGCGAGAGGTGTTTGCGACCCTCAATGTCAGCCTGGACAACACCAACAGACCGGCCACCTTGAGAGTCAAGATGGATACGGGCGCCCAGGGCAATATATTGCCGCTGAGAGTGTTCTGCCAAATGTTCCCCCAGCACGTCGGACCAAACGGATACCCAAAGCCGAAGTCCGTGAAGCCGTCAAGTACCACCCTCACAGCGTACGGCGGATCCAAGATAAAGCAATGCGGAACCCGCCCTATTCCGTGCTCTTACGATGGCAAGAGTCAACTCGCTGACTTCTACATCACGGACTGCCCTGGCACTGCTATCATCGGTCTCCCGACAGCGACAGCCCTGCAGTTAGTCACGCTGAACTGCGCTGTCCAGGAGAAGCCAGCGAGCATCCGAGACAAGGACGACCTGATGAAGCAATACCCGAAGTGCTTCGATGGCATTGGGAAATTCCCAGGCAAGTACCACATCACGGTGAACCCCAACGTCGTCGCAGTTGTACACCCTCCACGCCACCTCCACGCCATCGCACTGAGAGACGAGATCAAGACGGAGCTGGAGGACATGATCCAGAACGGCATCATCACCAAGATCCAGGAAGGCGAACCAACAGCGTGGGTGAACAGCCTCGTGTTCCGCCTCAAAGACAATGGCAAGCTACGCCTGTGCCTAGACCCCAAGGACCTCAATCACGCCATCCTGCGAGAGCACCACGTGGTCTCCACCATTGAGGAGATCACCCCGAAGTTGAGAGGTGCCAAAGTGTTCTCGATCGTCGACGTCAAATGTGGGTACTGGAATGTGGAGCTCGACGACGAATCCAGTTACCTCACCACCTTCAACACACCATTCGGGCGCTACAGATTCCTTCGCATGCCATTCGGCCTCAAGATGTCGCAAGATGTCTTCCACGCAAGGATCGACCAGACGTTCGAAGGGTGCTCAGGCGTCACCGGCATCGCAGACGACATCGTCACATACGGGACGTCAGACGAGGACCACGATCTCAACATGCACCAGATGATGGTTCGCTGCGAACAATCTGGTCTCAAGTTGAACCCAGACAAATACCGCATCAAAGAGGACAAGATCAAGTTCTTCGGCATCATCTGCAGCGCTGACGGAATACAGCCCGACCCGAAGAAGGTCTCAGCGCTGAAGCAGATGGAGCACCCCGAGAACGAGGACGAGCTCCAGACGTTCCTCGGGCTAGTCACGTACATGAGCCCGTTCATACCGAATGCTAGTACGCTGACCGCGCACCTGCGTGAGCTGACCAAGCCAGATACACCGTTCGCCTGGACAGACAGCCACCAGCGCACCTTCGACAAGGTCAAGGCCGCCATTTCGACAGAAGTAACGCTCAGTTACTTTGACCCAGGCAAGGCAACGACACTACAAGTCGACGCTTCCATGAAAGGTCTCGGCGCCACTCTGCTGCAGGACGACAAGCCTGTTGCATTCGCCAGCAAGAAGCTTACCGAGACAGAGTCTCGCTACGCCAATATTGAGCGTGAGCTCTTAGCTGTCGTATACGGGTGTGAAAGATTCCACACCTACCTATTCGGTCAGTCATTCACAGTAGAATCCGACCACAAGCCACTGGAGTCAATCAAGCTCAAGCACCTCCGCGCAGCCCCGCCGCGTCTACAGCGCATGCTGCTGAAGCTGCAGCCGTACGACATGACCATCAAGTACCGCCCCGGAAAGGACATTCCGATCGCAGATGCGCTATCCCGACTGTCGCCAGAGGAAACAGAGCCAATTGAGGACCTCGACGTCAGTGTACACGCCGTGTTCCCGCAATTCAGTGATGCGGCGATGACGAGGATCCGCGAGGAGTCGGCTAAAGACGCCGAGATGTCAGCATTGAAGGAGATGATCTTCAGTGGCTGGCCATCAGAGAGGAGCGCGGTGCCGGCAATTCTGCTCCCGTACTGGAATTTCCGCGACGAGATGAGCACCGAGGACGGTCTCATCCTGAAGAGCAGTCGCGTCCTGATTCCCCCACCAATGAGGGGGGGGGGGGGGGAATCCTCAGCAAGCTGCACGCCAGCCACCAAGGCATAGAGAAGACCAAGCTGCGAGCCAGAACGTCCGTCTTCTGGAAGGACATCAACAAGGATATCGAAGCAACTGTCTCATCTTGCACGACGTGCCAGCGCCACCAGAGCAGTCAAGCCAAGGAACCACTGGTGCAGCCCGATATTCCGCCAAGGGCATGGCACACCTTAGGCACGGACCTGTTCTACCTCGGTAGGTCAGAATACCTCATTGCCGCCGACTACTACTTCAAGTACTTTATCACCCGGAAGCTGCCTGCCGGACAAGCGACCAGCAGGGCTATCATCCAGCACCTCAAGGAGATTTTCGGTGAGCACGGCATCCCAGCTGTGCTGAAGTCGGACAACGGGCCGCAATACAGCAGCCATCTGTTCGCGGAGTTTGCTGTCGAATATGGATTCCGCCACAGTACGTCGTCGCCACATCACCCGCAGAGTAACGGGTTTATCGAATCGCAAGTCAATATCGCTAAGAGAGCTCTCGAGAAGGCAAGGGAGAGCGGGACCGACCCGCACTTAGCACTGCTGTGCATTCGTGCCACCCCAGTGTGCCAGGGCTTACCGTCGCCGGCCGAGATGCTGTTCGGTCGTCAGGTACAGGACAACCTGCCTCGCAAACACCAGCGCGACACTCGGGACGAGGCCATCCGACAGAAGCTCGAGGAACGGCAGGACCAGCAGAAAGTACACCATGACCAGCGAGCGCAGTCTCTCCGCCCCCTAGTTCCTGGTCAGCACGTCGGCATCCGCAGCCCGACCACGCACCTGTGGGAACCTGGTATCGTAACCCAGTCTGCCAATGGGCCACGGTCATACATGGTGCAGCCTGACCATGGGACAGAAGTGCGGCGCAACCGTACCCACCTCAGAGAGAGGCGGGTCCACTTCCCGCCGGATGCCTGTCCCGCAGGCCCTCAGCCGTCGACGCGCAGCGACATTGGCGAGCCTCAGCCGCCGAGTGACGTGCCGTCGCCGTGGAGCGACGTTAGCCAGCCTCAGCCGCCGTCACTGTGTGACGTCAGCCAGCCTGCTGAACCTGCCACCCAGCTGTATCGAACACGGTCTGGCCGCGCAGTCGCACCCAGGTCAATCCTGGATGTGTAGGGCCAGAGAGGCCTCATGGACCTGTTCGCTTATGTCACAGTAGCTGAGGTGCCATTGTTATTATTGTACATAGAGCTATTGTTGGATACTATGTCTCTGTATTGTTAGCACGCCGTCGTGTGCCATTCATGATTGTTACCTTGTACATAGAGCTATTGTTGGATGTTATGTTCTATATTGTGAACACGCCGTCGTGTACGTACGGTATGTTATGTAGGTTGTTAAACTCCTTTATGACGAAGGGGATGTTGTATTATGATGTAATGCATTACGTAGCCATGCAAGAGCATGCGCGAGATACGCATCTCGCAGCTGCCTACTTTCATGCAGGATCCTTTAGATGTCGGGGTTCTAATGATTTGCCTACAATGGCCAAGTGAGAATATAATCCTATCGTAAACAACTAACTTGTTTACCCCGAAACAGCACACACACACACACACACACACACACACACACACACACACACACACATGCACACACACACACACACACACACACACACACACACACACACACACACACGCACACATTGCAAAAGATGGAAAGACATTTAAGACAAGGGTACAAGTGGCAGCGTACCTTCAAAAGATCAGGTCTGTAGAGAGACAGAATGGCAAAGTATCCAAACGGCACTAGCAGAGCTACTAGACGCGTGAGAGTGGTGCGACGCATGTGATAACCCACAAAGTCCAGTGACTGAACAGTTCAACACAGACATATGCACACACACACACAGACAACGCAACACACACACACACACACACACATATACACACACACACATATGCACACACACACACACACACACACATATGCACACACACACACACACACACACACACACACACACACACACACACACACACACACACACACACACACACACACACACACACACACACACACACACACACACACACACACACACACACACACACACACACACACACACACATACACACAAACACACACACACACATATACACACACACATATGCACACACACACACACACACACACACACAAACACACACACACACACACACACACAGAGCACAAGTAAGAGCACAGCCGTCCCTTGGAGTTGTTGGTCCAGCACTTTGAAAACCCACATCCTCGATAAACCAGCACGGTTTCTAGGAACTGAAATTTCAAAAAGAAGAAAAAACAATAGTCGTTCGCCAGCATGTGACCCGGGACGAGCGGCACGAACTGTGAAACCAGTGCTTGTGCTGTAGAGCACCGCTACTCTTTAGCAGCACCGGTCAGGCATGCCAGAGAGCATAGCTGTAGAGCACTGCTACTCTTTAGCAGCACCGTTCAGGCATGTCAGAGAGCATACTAGTAGCTCACAATCACATCGCTTGCACGACAAAGAGCGAACAGTTCGCGGCGTTTGAAAGGTTTCCAGTCACACAGAGTATCGGTTCATGATTGCACAAGAGGCATACAGCGGCGGCCTTTGCAATGTACAGTCAAATCTGTCCTTATGAGTTATGGACAGCTGTAAAGGAAGGACTGCTCGTCGTAGTCCCATTGATTTTGTGTCCATTCTTCGCACTCAAGCAGCTGCAAAGCAAATCACAATTCATGATTTTTTTTAAATATAATACCGTCTTACGTGTGTAGTTGCATCAAGAGTATAACCCCACAAGAGTGTGCAACTCCTGATACCCTTTCTATGGGGTACGCCGGCGGCGAAAACTCACATCACGTGGTACAGTGTCGGTTGTGTAATAAAAAAACTCTGACAGAAACTCACTGCGGGTATGCAAATCCCCCGCATGATCATGGCAGATATTCGGATTGCGCGCATGCTATCCTTCGTTTGTGCGTAGTACGAACGTATCGGAGACACGTGATGCGAGTTTTCGCCGTCGGAGACCCCATATGCAGAGTTGCACACTCTTGGGGGTTATAATACTCTTGGTTGCATGTGTAGCCACGAGCACATGTGTCATACATGTAGGTGTACACTTCTCCAAACACATTGGAGAGCTGTATATACATTTAGTGGTGGCATTCATTGCAACGAACAAAAATGACGTGCATATTAGGGGCCGTCCAAGGTTACCAATACTATTTTCAAAACGAAAAGTTTTCGTTTGGGGGTGGGTGGGTTTGATGGAGTTTCGTTTTGAAAATATTTATTGAATGCAGATGGAGAATGCCCAGTTACTTCTGGGTGTCGAAAATTAACATCAATATTTTATTCCCGTAGCTATGCAGAAGACGTTACTTCAGTAACGTCTGGCGCTAGCCAGGGTCCACACAGCTTTAATTTGGTATTTGTTTGTTTGTGTGTTTGTGTCACGCCTGGCGCTATCCGTATCTGACGGCAAAAAAGCATAGGATGTTATAATTTTTTCAATTCTCCTATTTTTTTTTCAGGCATATCCTGGGATTCGAACCCGCACTATCGCCCTACATGCATTCCCCCATACACTTCGCATTCATACCCATTCTTCCAAGTTGCTTCACGTTATTATCTTGCGTTTGAAAGCCCTATTTGAATATTGCGGGCAGCTGTATGTGGCCAGCTGTGTTTGATGGTACGGTACGGTACGGGAGACGGTGTCGTATCCCCTACCGTACCGTGCCATCAAAGACGGCTGGCCACAATGCATATTCAAATAGGGCTTTCAAATGCAAGATCACAATGTGAAACAACTTGGAAGAATGGGTATGAATGCGAAGTGTATGGGGGAATGCATGTAGGGCGATAGTGCGGGTTCGAATCCCAGGATATGCCTGAAAAAAAATAGGAGAATTGAAAAATTTATAACATCCTATGCTTTTTTTGCCGGTAGATACGGATAGCGCCAGGCGTGACACAAACAAACAAATGTATGCGAAGTGTATCGGGGGATGCATGCAGGGCGCGCGATAGTGCGGGTTCGAATCCCAGGTTATGTCTTAAAAAAAAGGATTTTTTAAAAGAATTTATAACATCCCTATGCTTTTTTTTGTCTAGGTCATCAAGGCAAAAAAAGCATAGCATAGGGCCCTGAGCTTCCAAGCTCTCTCGTTGGAATTCGTTTTACCTGCAGAAAAGGTGGGTGGGTGGGGGCTGAAAATACTAAAACTTTTCGTTTTGTAAAAACAATCGGTAACCCCGGACGGCCCCTTATTATGGTCTGATTTCCAGTTGACGTCAAGATGACCTCATGCACGGTGACGGGTACGACTGAGAATTGAGCACATTCGGCCTCAGTCCCTCCCTTGGGTGTCTGTGATTGTCAGGTTCGACGCTACTGCATGCACTGGCATATCATCATGGCATGAACAGGGAATGGCACTGCACTGCACAGCATATCATGGCATGAACAAGGAATGGCACTGCACTGCACAGCATATCATGGTATGAACAGGGAATGGCACAGCATTGCACTGGCATCTATACCAAGCGGCACATTATAATTATATTGGGTTGGTAATGTGGTCATGTTTCCAATATGTTCCCATAGAAGTAGTTTAGAGCTCGCCCACTCCTTTCCATTCACTCTGCGGTTTCGCCGACACATAGTAAGAATTGATAAAACGAGCTTGATACTATCGAAGCGAGAATGTGAAAGAGCGGGTCTGCTCTGAACTACTTCCTTGATGGACTTGAGCAGGCCTGCCGGAACCAGTCCGGTTGGTCAGGTTATTACCGGACCAGCTTTTCGGCCACCAATACATGTTTCCTAGTACTAAATTCCTACTGAGGAGGTCATGTGTACCCGCCATGTCATACACAGAGTATGAACGGCCATGATACTACCATGTACTACCGGACCAATCAAAAACTGCTTCTGGCGGTCCTGTTGAGCAACCGAAATCATGCCCATCCATGACGTTCTGCACTACATACAAGTCATGTATGTGTACATGTTTGTTGTAACAAGACTGGGAGATGTGTGCTCTTGATGGTACCAAGGCCAAGGGTGAAAGTAAGGCGTAGCATAGAACAGCCACATGACATTGTATAAAACTAACTACAGTAATTACTTAGACGATACTAGTACATGTACAATCATTAGGACGGTATTTACCTCGCTGCCCAGCTGATTCTGAAAGATACGTTCCAGCGTCAAACCAGCAGATCGGACTTCTTGAGGAGGAATGAGTAAAAACAGTGCTACCACCGAATAAATCAGGCTGATTACATATGGGTCTTTCGGACTGGTATCCATAGCCTGGTCGACGTGATAGAACCCGTCCATGCTTGCCAGTTGCCACCACACTTTAATATCCACTATCTCTTACTACTGTACTAGGTCCTCTTCGTCCCATGCACACCAGACAGCCAAAGTCAGAGAACAGTCACAGGCATTCATGAATGAAAATTGAAATGAAAAAGAGGATCGGAACAAACGCAGCAAAGCCCACAAACCCCTGAACCATGCAAACGGCAGAGGCATTTTTGGTGTTCGAAAATGTCATGACATCATCGGTGAACCCGGCGTGAAGGCGTTACGTAACCATGACGTTTTGATTGGTGTGCAGCACAGCAGTGCACTAGTGAAACCTGTCTAAGACGACCGCTCAAGGGACCTTGAAAACGTGGTCTCTGTTACCAGGTGGTCACCTTATCCAGGGTCATTTGACTGGAAAAAGGGCCCTTGGTTGGTCCTGGTTTCAGTGGTCTTCCAGGACAGGTGGTCGCCTTATCCGAGTGGTCGCCTTGCCAGGTTTTACTGAATATGGCACATGGAGTATTGTAAATTTGTAATACTGAATCATTACTACTCCGGGAGTCCCTGTTCTACAGACCAGTAGAAGAGGTAGTTGAAGAGGTGTCTATCACATGTTTCAAAAAAAAAAAAAAAAAGTTTAAATCAGTGACTCCCTATAAGTTAGTTAGTTGATGGTGTAGCACCAGGCCAGTCGCCGCATGATTGGCCATGATTCACAAATCACAATAGAGGCGCACGGCGACACTAGTCCCTAGCCCACAACCACCCTGCCTCTGATATGTGCCAATGTGCGCTGCAGCCGTCGTCACTCTCACTCGGATTCAACATCATTTAGGACATGTTTGGTGAGTGGCCGGGATCAGGTGCACAGAGGGAGTCACAGTGTGCCCAAACCTCAGTGCACCACCTTCGGAACAGGCACACATGCTCACAATCCCATACGCATGCCTCACGTCCCAGGTTACGCCGGGCCATGACTGATGGCCACTAGGCAATGCTCACACTCTACACTACACTCTACTCAACTGTGATATCAAAGAGTGACTGAAAGATACAGTACTTCACGACACGCATGATTATTTGGAGTTGGTTCAATTTGTAATAGGAGCAGGAGGATTTCTAGGAAACTTTGCGCCGAGAGGTTCAACAAGATTTTTAGTTACCTACGAAGGTTGGACTGCGGCTGTGTTGAAAGTATTAGTTGAATAGATTGTATAGGCCGTCTCAGTCTGCGTTCGAAAGCCAAGGCAATGCAAAAAAAACAACAATTATATGAAAACACTTCTCTCAAGTTCTCCAGCTTCCAGGGTAAAATATTCCTAATATTCAGTCCATGTAAATAGTAGTACTAAATAAATATATGATATGTAGATTTGCTTCGCTGACCATAGGATATCAATCAAGCATGTGTCAAGGCTCTCAGTGTATAGTCTTCAACCGTGCAAAACGCCGGCTTACACCGCGGTGAAAAGCTCACACTGCGGTCTCGCCCGGTTCTAATGGTGGCAGCATAGGTGACTCGGCAAATGGGTCAGTGGAAGTAGTTGCTAGGGGCGACGTACCCGCGTGATAGTAAATGGGTTCCATAGCGGCGGGGTCGGGTAGAGGCTGTGTGTCGGCCAGAGTCGGATGATGATTGGAAACTAAGCTGGTCTTTCTCGACTGCGCAGCACTGGCAATGGGCGGACCTCTGATGGAGCCGTTGGGAGACGGTGACCATGGTGACGCGCTCGAGCCGCCCCCGCCGCTGTTCTGCAGAGAAACCATGTGCATGCTGTTCTGTCGCGACTGTGTCAGGGAGATTGTGTTCTGCCGGGACACGCCGTGAATCACGCGCAGCTGATGCCGACTGGCCAGCTTACCCGCTAGTGTGCTGCCCTTGGACACGGCACGTATCCGCGGTACAAACAAGCAGGCTAAGATGGCAAAGTGGTGCAGGAGCATGGCCGCAGCCGACACCACCGGGAAGACAATGCCAACCGCCAACGAGGAAATTGGCAGGACAGCCGCCCAGAATATAGTCAGCATGAATGCGGTCAAGCCGAGCAGAGTGGCCTCGTTCGGCAGCCACGTCATACCCAGGGTGCGGGTTATTTTAGAGCGGCGGACGACAAACGCCAAATAGATGAAAGACAGGAGAAAGAATGCAAAGAACGGCACAGAAATCGAATCAAGTGGTTCCTGGTGGCAGTACAGGTTTAGAGTTCTCGTTTCGGACACCGGCATGGCTGTGGGCTCAATGGGAAATTCTCGGCCATAGACAATGAATACTCCTGTGATGATGGTTGCTATCGAAAACACACCAATGATTTCCCGAGTGGCGTTCGAAGCTAGGAGTGCCGCCAGGCGCACTACAAAGCCTGGGACGCCAGCCTTGTTGGAGACAGAGACGTGATGCAGGCAGCGGCAATTTAGAAGCAGAAGGGAGAAAACAAAGTTGTTGGCAATGGTCGTTGTGTGAACCGGGCAAGACCTAGTTCCCGGCTTAGAGAACAGGTAGACATTGGCAGACAGGCCAATTATGGCGGTCAGCAGTAGCACAACACTGAGCTCAATTCCTGCTACTTGGATAGCAAGGCGTTTCCGATGCCAGCAGAACGCAGCCAGCAGCAACACAGCACCGCAGACACCCAGAAAGGACAGGACCAGCACGGCGACCCCCGGGGCAGTGGCAAAGTCGTAATAGAACGTTGTGAACAGTACGCAGCTCGTGTGATTCTCATCGGCAAAGTAGCCGGTTGCACATGGCGTGCAGCGGCCGTCCGTACTGCTTCCGTTGCGAAACGTGTTGCCCGTACACTCGGTACACAGCCAACAGCATACCTTGGGACGCTGCAGTCCATCAGCAATGCCGGGAGGTTCATATTGCAAGGTACCCGGGCGACAAGGTTTACTACACGCTGACATTGGCGGTTCCTTAGTGGCAGTCATCCAAATGTTGCTCAGAAGACCTGCCTCCCTCCACACTAGGAGAGAGCCAGCAGTGCTCTGGTTCACTGGCAAAGAGGAAACATGCCAATCGGCCAGATGTTCCAAACGCCATGTCGCCACAGCAGGGCCAGGGACAATGCCTAGCACGCGCAGGTTGTGACTGAGGTCTTGGTCGGTGAAGAAGCGACACAGCTCCGGCTGATCCACAGCCCCGCTGCAGTCCCAGGCGCCTTGACGCATGGCCGTCGTCAGTGCCTCGTACTGTTTGTCTGCAAAGCCAAGTGTCGAGCCGTTCGCCGCTTGGATCATATCCTCGATTAGCCACACTGTTGATTTGACAGCCATCCACAAGCTACCAGTGGTGATTGGTATCCAGAATGAGTCTGGTGCCAGGCCAAATGCTTCTGCAACCGACATTGTCACGTTACAAACATTGCGATTCTGACACTCGGCGTCGATGTCGGTGCACTGGACGAACGGAAGACGGCAAGCGTGACGATCCTGCCAGGCTACTGCCAGCCACGGGTTACTGAGAATAGCGTCCTCTGTCGGGTGTGTGTTCTGCAGCTTGGCGTAAAGTCTATCCTCAAAGCCCTCTGCACAACTGATGTTATCCGGGACTTGGAACGTGAGCCCTATGACTGTGTGATTGCCCATTGCAACGGCTCTCTTCGTCTTGTGGACGATATCGACGGCCGCTGAGATCCAAGAGTCACTGGCAATCCACACAAAGTGTTCCGTGGCCAGCCAGGCTGCAAACGCCGGGTCATGTCTGGCTTTCATCTCCGTGGCGTTGAAGATGGCCTCCGCGTACCGGTAGCCGGCCAACAGGAGGACGACATGCGGCGATTCCAAAGTCGACGTTGTATTGGCCGCGTCAAACCACTGCTGGAGAATGTCGTTGATTGTTTCCGCGTCAGTGAAACGGAACGCCCTGTCCATGGCAAAGCAGACTGCTTGGTTGTCCTCGACCAGCGCGGAGTATCTCAGACTATCGGCGAGTGTGTCACGTGAGCCATCTGGCTCGTCATACAACATATACACATATGTCCAGCCAAAATGCTTCAACAGATCCAGTATAGCAGCGGCCTGAAATCGATCCGACGTCGTCGTTCTGAAAAAGTACGGATACTGATCCTTGTCGACAAAGTGATCCGACGTCGACCAGAAAGAGAAATGCGGTATTTGATAGGAGTTTAGTACTGTGGTGGCTACCTCCACTTCCTTGCTGAGCACTGGACCAATGACAGCCAGGAGTCTTTCAACCTCTAGAGGCTCTGCTAATGTTCTTGTTGTCGTCGCCTCAGTTGTTGGGACAGCATTGGTGGTGGTGGTGGTGTTCGTGGGAGAGCCCAGGGTGCCACAGCTTGAACTCGCCGCAATGGCCGACGCATATTGGCGATCTCTACAGGTGCTTTCCACTTGTATGGAGTACCTGCTCAACTCAATGGCCTCTTCAGCTGCTGCCTCTGGCATGCCACACGAGTCGTGCACCTCCACGCCAGATACGAGGCGCTGTACTGCCGGACTACTGGCCAATATCTCACTCAGCGCCAGCTTCAACGCCTCCACTAGCTCCACCATGAACACGTGCCGTGCGCCCGTGCAGGTAGTGGGATCGCTCAGCGAGGTGCTAATGTGCATCGGCATCAGCACTCCCAGCAGGTACTGGAAGCCGTCCGAAGTGCCATTGCCGTCGGCGGGCAAAGCGCCAGCGCCGGCACCGTCATCCGAGTCACTTCCAGGAGGGTCAGTACTCTTACTAGCGCTCTGGCTGGCTGTCACTAGTCCGGCGCTGCTGCTGCTGCTGGTCGTGCTGAATCGGAAGCAGGAAAGACGCTGAGGTCCTGAATTCGACAAGAAACGGTTGAGTCGCTCCGCAGTTCCAGTGCGATGCTGAATGAAACAACTCTCCTGCTGGGTAGACGCGAATGCGCTGCAAAGCTGGGACTCGGCTAGTACGGCAGTCAACACCACCAGCACCGCCACCAGTCCACGCGCACGGTCATGTGAGAATAAAGCGGATGGCAGACGACGATCATGTCTCCGCAGCAGCATTGACACAGGTGGTGCAGGAACCACCATTATCCTCTGCACCACGCTCCGAAAACACAAACATGCATTGCGTTCACTGTGATTGCGAATTCCGGGTGTGCAGCGGGATCGAGGTGCCTGGTCTCATTTTCACGTGACGCCGAAGACGAGGAAGTAGCAGGCATCCTCTCCGATGTGCCAGGCGTTGCATGATGGCCGAGCCGCTCGACTGAGCCACGCGTTGTTCTCTGTTTTGTAGACCACACACTCCCCAATGGGATGTTTGGTTCTGGTCAGCGATGCAACTGCGCTTCAAAAGGACGGGCGGTTCGGTGTCTGATATCGGGAGTGGAGGACGATAGCACGTCTGCGAACATATTTTCGCGTGGCTTGTAGATCTAGATACATGACATAAGTAGTAGCCTATACCTACTATACTAGTCATACTGCCAGTCTTGTATGAGTCGACGTTCGTGATCCCGCACTGTCTAGTCTCATCTGTGACACTTGATTTCTTGACAGAAGAAGTGCATGTCAGTATTATCCTTCACTATCAGTGTGGGACAAGACTCAAGAGCGCGCTCTCGATCGATAGTAGCAGAACCATACATGGATTTCACAGTCTATCACCATGATCACGGCTCGTTGACGGTTGAGTCGTTCTACTCGTAGTCATTCTTACCTGCAATGGCTGCATTCGTGAGTCTATCGTGACTTGAAGTACTGTGTAAAAGAGTCGTAGAGTCAGACCTCGCTTATCCGGTCCTCGTTTATCCGGATCCCTCGCCATCCGGTAGAACATCGTTGGTTACAGCGTATGCCATGCGCACATACAGTATAATTATGTGTTCGATTATCCGGTTCCCTTGCCTATCCGGATATTTTTTCTGGAAACGGATGTGTGCGGTCACACTGTATACACATCATTATGATTCAGACATACACACAGTCATGATCAGTCACTGACCGTGCTGGTCGCAGGAACAGGAGCAGCGTGAATGCTAGCGCTAGGTACAGAGTATACCATGACATTGTACTAGTAGTACATGAATTGTTCTACAGTGCTGGCAACTGAAATCCGACCCCCTTGGCGGCGCGAGAGTACAAAACGTGGACAAATCTGTAATTAAACTCCATTGTGCCTTTTGTGTGTAACGAGGTTAGTATGACCAGGGAGTAGTATTTTACTACTCCCTGGTATGACTGTACTCTTGCTAGTAAATCAGACTTTATCAGTGATACGACAGACGTGCTCCGCTTAGTCCGCTAGCGCTGAGGCACTGACGTGACACTGACTGCCAAAGGCCATCAATAAAATGTCAGCCCGTCGCCGAGGCGTCGGAGAGCAGTCGACCTGTCAGTCATCAGTTGAGTATTTTGTCAAGTTTTGACAGACGTACCTCGGCCAGCTGGAGGCCAAAGGCAAAGGCACAGTTACCAACCACTTCTCAACTCTGGCTCTGTCGGCCCGCTGGGCATTATTTTTAAAAGTCCTGATTTCGGAGCTCCTATCCACTCCAGAGCCGCTCTTCCAAACCTCACCTCCCTGGCTAGTTGTCAGATGCTTTTTGTTATAGATTTCATGGTACGTGGTGCTCCGCTGAAATGATGGATAATTGTACTACTAGTAGTAGTAGTACTAGGCTAAAGTCGTAAAGAGAAACAGGGAGAATCTACAGTTTGGTACAATTATATCACGTGACAATCACCATGACGGAAGCGAATCACGATTCAGCAGAGTGTTCAGGAGAAGTGATCGCGCGGCGGGCGGATCGTGACATCTTTCAACCCTCCTAGGAGGGCAGATACGTGGTCTCATTGGCTGGGGCTGACTATATCCACCCGCATTTTTTTGTTACCCGTGACATTCAGCTTGATTGGCTATCACATGCACATGTCAGCAGAAAGGAACTACTGTACTTTATAATACCCTACTTTAATATACTAGTACATGTACATGTACATCAGATGTATAATTACTAGTATTTTAAAAAGTAGGGTAAGTACAGTACTACAGTAGTCTGATCTGCCCTGTCCTGTTGTCATGTGGGCTTGTTCACGACATTGTTCAGCGAAATGTTGTAGCATAAAGTGCAGGTTGGTGACAGAATCTATTAATTAATTACATCTCTCTTTTTTTTGTCATACTCACAGTCGCACCACTATTCACACCTTGTTTTCAGGCACATTCGGTGTTTGTGTGTGCGGTGTGTCTTTTGACTTTTTGTTGCACATGTGTGAGCTGATTGGCCCCGTGGGTGTGGTTCAGAGTGTGAGCTTGTGTGAGTGACTGAGTGTGAGTGACTGAGTGTTGGTGCGAGTGTACTGAGTATGAGTGTGTGTCTGTGTGTGTTTGGCGTGTGCATGTGTGTGGGTATGTGTGTATGTGTGTGTGCCTGTGCCCAAAGGACGGTAGGCCTTGACAGATTATGCTAATATATTCGTGAAATTATGCTTTTCGCATTGCTGAAAAAATTGCAGAGTTATGCTATTATTATGCGAAAAGTTATCATATTATGCGGCATTATGCTCACATATGCTGCTAATGTACATTGTATACATGTATGATGGTTCTGTGCAAAATAACAGGTGAATTTTTTTGTAGAGGGCGTTGTACTGTAGTAGCAAAAGTTCAACGGGGTCAACGCACCGTCCGACCTAGCTACATGTATGACCGTCACCCTGGTCACTGATTGTAGTGGACTGGACATGTTATCAAGGGAGTCGTAAACCTACGCCTTCCTGGTGTGTCTACTTGTACTTGTACTTGTAGAACATGTACAACTGTATGGAATTTGATGCGAACAGGCGGATTAGTCCAATTTTATGCGATTTGTATGCAATTTGCCTCGAATAATGCGATTATTCGATTTTGGTAGGAATTATGCGAAAATTTATGCTAGCATAATCTGTCAAGGCCTAAAGGACGGTGTACTTTTATCACGTACATGTATGGTGTAGTTTCGCTCCACTTCTTGTATTGCATAATACATGCACATGTAGGTCCACCTCACTTGTTTTCTCCTCAATCCTGATGATGGCTCCTGGCCCGAAATTTGATTTCACTTGACTGACTCACGACTGCCATCCAGAGCACACGAGAAGTCCATCGAACTGTCCACTCGACAAACCTGCAAGAAAGCACCACTCCCTGCTCACAGTGTTTCGGGGAATTCACCCCTGTGTTTGTTTTTAGGTGTCTATCTCGTTGCACCGGTCCGCACGCTATCTACCCCCCCCCCCCCCCCCCCCGCTCTGCATCATGCCGCACAAATGCTGCTACCCGCGGTCAAGCTTCAGCCGCTCCGAACCTACCCAGAGCTACGTCTCGTTACGGCCTGAATGCTATTACTTTCATTTTTGGCAGCAGACAGATGGAACATGCTTCCACCGGGATGTCGTCGAGCTAAGCCCCTTTCTGCATTTGTCACAAGCACCAAGTCATACCTAGGGTTCCCAGTAAAAAGGCAACCCCTGTTGGGAGTTCGCTAGTACATGTAAAATAATAAATTCTACTACTACTATCCCTCATCAGTTGAGGTTGAGTAGGCCTAGGAAGATTATGCCTGAACTACCTGAAGAGCACCACTTATATGGATTCATCACTGCATGTACTGTACATGACCGTACATGGTATTATTATTATAACCTAACACTGGTTAAAAAAAACAGTGTTAGATAAACCTTGTTATACAATGTACATGTATGTAGTGCTCTCCAGGCAAAAACATCACCAGGGATACAAAGTTACAAACTAACTTACAGAGACGCTCCGTTTCCAGCGCGACAAACACCTCGTGAACACCAGATACTAGGCCTTATTATTATTATTATTATTATTATTATTTTTAGAATTGCGATCAACAGAACGAGATTATTATTATTATTATTATTATTAAATTTTTGATAGCCTTGACAGATTATGCTAGCATATTTTTTTCGCATAATTCCTACCAAAATCGAATAATCGCATAATTCGAGGCAAATTGCATACGAATCGCATAAAATTGGAATAATCCGCCTGTTCGCATCAAATTTCATACAGTTGTACATGTTCTACAAGTACAAGTACAAGTAGATGCACCAGGAAGTCGTAGGTTTACGATTCCCTTGATAACATGTCCAGTCCACTACAATCAGTGATGGTCGTAGCGAGGTCGGACGGTGCGTTGACCCCCTTGAACCTTTGCCACTACAGTACAACGCTAGGGTCCAGCAGATAATGCCGGCATTATATTCGGCATTATAAGACTATCCGAGCATTAGAGCATTATGGAGCATTAGGAAGGAACAAGACGAGCTTTATGTGAGGTTTGAGCGGCATAACGAGTTAGTTTTATAGTGGATAATGTCGGGAAATCTCATGGTTTTTGGCAACAATCGGCTAAAGCCATGACTGCATGAGGTGCAACGCCATAATATACATGTACGTACCGGCACATGACTTTGTGAGTGTAGACACCGTCACACGTAACACCTTTAGCGCTACATTTACCTGACTACATGCAGTAATGCGCTGCATCTGCCACCCTGGTAGCACAGGTATGGTGGTGGCCTGGCACATGCGAAACTTCCTAAGCTGGTTGTGTTTCTCAACGCAATTGTATAGCCGGTGGTAACGCGGACGTGCAAACTTTACTTTTTTTTACATGCAGTAATGACATGTCATTGCTACATAAAGTCTTTATGTAGCAATGTCAGGTAAATGTACATGTGATGTAGCATGCCCACCGTTGCAATTGAGGCTGTTTATGCTTCGAAGTCCACAAAATCCGTAACGATGATTTACGAGGAATTTTTTTTGAAATCATGGAGAACCATGGATGATGGAGGAGACTACGTAGATCTACGCCAAGTGAATATCAAACAGAGGAAGAGGAGTTTCCTGTTAATAAAAAGTGTTATGCCATAGACTCTGGCCATAGCATGTCTAGCGATACTGAAGTTAACACTAATCCATTGATAAACATGTGGACCTGCATGAAGGAGCGGCTATAAACGGATAGAGCCTACTCCAAAATTAATAACTACCTTTGCCGAGTCCAGCTCAGCAGGCTCGAAAAGAACTAGAATTTCTCATGGACGCAGCACCAAATCGATTTGAGTGCTCAGCAGCGCATGTTTTACTTTCCTGGTGAAGTACGTACAGTTCGTCCTGGACGATTGAAATGCAAGGCCTATAGTCAAGTGTTATCAGAAAAGAAGAGTATTGTGGCCAACCATTTGTCTCCACGCAACCTCAGGAGAAGAAGACAGCGCAAGCAGAGGGTGTAGAGCGGAAAAATAACTTCTGACCACGTGTGTTCAGGATTTCAGCAAATGGGAGGGATCTCGATCTGAGATC